AATATATTTTGAACAGTGTGATCCTGATTTTATAAAAAAGAAATACACCCACACATATACTGGAAAGATACATATGCAGATATTAATAGTGATTATCTCTAGATCATGCTATTCGCGGTGACTTTAATTTCCTTCTTTGTGATTTCTTCTGCATTTTTCAAAGCTTCCCCAACAGACACGTGGTGTTTAAGAAATCGGGGGGTTAGAGGGAAGAACATTTTTGGAAAAGAAACAATTATCCAAGGACAAGCTAAGTGAGGTGAGGATCAGTACAAGCCTAAGACATGTCGAGGATTTGACTAGCAGCAATTTCAATACCTATTGACAGTGTAAATGACTACAGGTAATAGGACTTAATTTTCATAGGTACCTCCCTCCCCGTGGAAAGTGACTGTCCTTTTCCACGCTGCTTCATTCCAGCCCACCTGGTTTATCATGTGCAGCCCCGAGTACCACAATCTAGGATCTAAATGAATTAGAGGAGACTATTCTGGATAGGGAGGGGACTTCAAACCACACACTGTAACAAGAGGAGTAGTTACCATCCACTGAGCACCCATTCTGTGTCAGGCACTTTCAAAATGTGAGAGTTAAACTAGGAGATGATTTGAATGGAAGGAAAAAAGTGACAAATGAACATATTTTTGAGCCCTCGTGGAGCTACTGCATTAAGCACTTTATCATACTTCATCACATCTAATCCTTACCATGATCTTCTGAGATAAGTATTATCCCTAATTTAGAGAGCTGAATTGAATTCATGAAAGAATTAAACCCATGAAACTGAATTAGGGAAATAGCACCGCATCACTAGGCTCTGGACTCAGACAGCCAGAGTTCAAGTCCTGGCAGCTATACTTTTTGCAACATTTGTTGCAAAAAGAAATACACACCCTTGGCCATGCTGCTAAGCCTTCCTAAGCTTCAGTTCCCTCAGCTACAAAAGGAGGCTAATATCATGGGGTTGCTTGAAGATTAAATTAGTTAATACATTAGAGCTCATAGCACAGTGCCTGGCATATAGTAAGCTCAATAAGCATCAGCAATTACTGTGGAGAAAACATACCTAAGATCACCCTGTAATTTGGGGAACAAGTAGAGAAGAAAAGAATCTGAGGGGCCTGGGTAATTGCTTTCTAGTGGTGATGGTCTGTCATAGGGAAGAAGAGAGGCTTATACTGACTTCAAAAAGTAGAACCAGATTCAGGGAATGTAAGTATAACAGGGCGTTGGGTAGAATGCAACCTGAAATTAGTTAGCTAGGCAATGCCAGTGACTTTTCTGCCAAGCAGATACCTATCTCTCTCCTTCAGGGAAAAGTCATTAAGTGGTTCTTATGATGCTCTAAGAGGCCATGCCCCACAGGTCTAGAGAGAGAACCTAGTAAAGCTTCTTACAGCTCAACAAGGTCTGCATGTCTAACACTCTTTGTTATGCAGAGCTGGTTTCTGATGAGAGGTGGGAAAGCACATGGAGTTCAAGAGTCTCCCTGATGGGTTAGGACAGACCCCATAAGAAGCCTCCTGGGAGAAAGAGACCCCAAAGACCCCAAAGGGGGTCCCCCAAACTCACCATGAGGAAAGGGGCAGGTCTTGGTTACCAGCAGGGAGGCAGGGTAATCTTTGTGGGAGTTGGAGGAGGCTGGTTCAAACACAGGCCATGGCTGAGACTGGAAACCTTCCGGATGTGGGTGTGATTGGAGCACCACGACTGAGCACTATAAACCAAGAGAGCTGTCATCTTGGAGCCCAAGCACATGCACTATGTGGAGACTCTAGGGCAACAAGGGAATCCCTGCAGCAGTGGGGGAAAATACTCTGTGGAGCCAGTTTACAACAACACTGCAGATCACTCACACCCAAGACTGACCCTTCAGAATGAATTCAGACCAGGGTGTTCTTGGTGTTCTTGGATGTTCAGAAGAGGTGGGAGGTGGTTGGGGCCTTAAGAGAGAAGTTTTGGAATCCCTACTAATGTGAGCAGGAAGGTGTTCTGGCAACTGACTGGGGGGAAAAGGATATTCCTATTCTTTGTTGTGCCCCCTCCCCCAAACTGGTGAAGTATGTTAAATCAGTCATATCCAAGTCGTAAATAAGACTTGATTAAACTCAACATTTAGGACTTTCTAAAAATCAGAATCAAAAATAACAGCTCCTATTGATTTGATGCTCATTATATGCCAAACTCTTTACATGCCTTAACTCATTAATCCTCACAAAACCCTCTGAGATGGAGATGATTTTCATTACCATTTTACAGGAAACTGAGGCTGGGGGAAGCTAAAATACCTGTTCAAGGTCACATGGTAGACACTGATAGAACAAGAATTAGCTGATAGGGGTGCCTGATCACAGAGCCGAGCCTTTTCACTAATGCTTCAATCTACCCCTGTAAAGATGGAAAGGGAGATGCAAGGCCATGTGGCTATGCCGTTGATGGGATGAGAATAGATGAGTGGGCTACAATACCCACAAAGTCTTTCCTATGCTGCCACACCGAGATTTTATGTTTCCTTGCAACCTTAAGAATCTGTGGGCTTCACTTATCTCTGCAGAATTGCTATAAAAATGAGTTGTTTTAAGTGGAAAATAAGCATAGGAACTATGGCTAAGGAATATAAAGATAAACCACATATCGAGACACAGTCTAAGTCTGTAGGTCAAATTTCATGACAACGACCTTCAGAGGAGTAGTATTTGTCCATTCAGCAAATATCTATTCCATGCCTTCCGTGTGCTGGGTGTATCGCAGGGAGCTAAACAGACGAAGATCCCTACCTTTGTGGATTTTACAGTCTTGTGGGGGGAGGAAAAATAAACAGCAAACCTAATAGCTGAGTAAATTACATGATATATTAAAAGGCTTTAACTACTCGATCACAGTTGCAGCTTTAAATTAGGCTGGAAGGGGAGACCTCTTTGAGAAGGTGACACTAAAGTGAAGGCTAAAAGGAAGAGAGAGTCAGTCATGTCGGTATCTGAAGGGATAACATTGGAGGCAGAGGACACACCCAATGCAGAGGCTGGGACAAGAGCCCACCTGAGTGGAGGAGATGCAAGAAGGCCGGTGTGACTGGGGCAGGGTTAGGCGAAGAGAGGAGGTTAAGGTCCAAACGGTGAGGGAAGGGTGGCAGGTCTGCCAGGCTTTTATACCAAGTAAGACGAGGAACTGTCGTGGGGTTTCAAGTAGAGGAGTGATAGGATCTAACTTGCATTGAATATATTAAAATGCACTGTATTTTATTCTGTTTTGACTTGAACATATTCTTTATCACGGAGCTCGACGCTCAATCCTCCGCATCAGCGTGAGGTACAGAGAACCCCACCGGTCTTGTGATTGGACTGGAAGGAGAGGGAGTCGGTGCATTTGAGTAAAAATAGTTTTGTCATTTAGTTCAAAGAGCCGCTGGGAGGAATAACTAATAACAATAGTTGTAAAGGTCACTGCAAATAGGAAGGGCTATCAAATGCTAACTACTACTTAAAAATAAAAAGCCTGTCATTATTCCTTGGTCCTGGAGTCAAGACCTCTAGCAGCCTCAGCCAGCCCAACCCGTTAACGCTTTGCTGCCCTTAAAGGACTTCTCCCTTAACCTGTGCCATCTGAGGGCCGGGTCTCCCATCTACAGCTCTGATGGAAGGAACGGAGCCGTTTACTCTGTGTACTCAGCAACAAAACACAGGGGTGGATGAACATTTGTTGCAAAAAGAAAATTCTTAAGCAGTGCTTACAAGGCTCCCTGAAAAGCCTTGAGTGTTTAAATGAGTGACATGGGGATAGATGTAAAAAGCTCTTGCAATGAGTTGTTTACACCATTCCATCGGGTCACGGAAATTTTGCTCGAGATCTGTTTGTGTGGGAACCACATGGGAATGCTAGCTTGCTGGTGCCAGCTTTGAAACCGACACAACGAATAGCTATTGTTCTGACACCATATCCGGCGGCTCGTGTCTACACACACTAAAGACGACCTTCCTCTTCAGAAATAACTTCCAGCCATTATATGGCTTTTTACATTGTTACCGGTGTACCCGATGTTCTAGATGACTGGGGAAGAGGGAAATTGCATAAGGACATTTCAGATTCTCTCCTAAAAGGATTCCCCAACTTCTCTATTTTGTTCAGTCAGGTCATCCAGGTTACTGCATTCCTAGCGTGATGAGAAATGGTGGAAGACACACAAAGGGGCGGAGAAGGGAAGTAAATTATTAAACACCTAGGAAGGACCAGGCTCTGTGTTAGGAGATCATTTTATTTCACCATCACAACCCCATGAAAATAAATACTACCCCCTATTTTGCAGATGAGGCAACTAAGGCTTAGAGAGATTAAGTAACTTACTTATTTAACAAGCGTTAGAGCTGGGGTTTGAACCTGCTGACTAGGAATCCTCATGTTCGCAGGCCGCAAGGATTTGCCCTCGAGAAGACCGTCATCTAGTGGGTGAGGCAAGACTTACACAGGGAAACCAGCAGGAGACAAATACCAGCCGTGCATAATCAGATGCTTAATTCACGTGATCGAGCCTCCTGAATTCAGTTGTATACTTACATACAGATAACCACAAAGAGCAAGGCCCTAAGCAAAATACAGGCAGGGACAGTAAAGGAAGCATGATTTTTCTATCAATGACATCTATCAATGACTTCTACATTTTAAAAAAATGCTGACCTCTTCTGCTGCTCCTCTAGTCTTGGGGCTGGCAGCTGCTTCCCCTCAGTTACCTCAGAGAATTCTCCGAGAATCTCAGATTATCAGAGAAGATAAGCATGAGGCTGTAGGACCAAGGGAGCATTGCCCACCTTTTGATGAGCCTGGGCCCACTCATGTCTTTTCCCTAAAGTTCCAGGGTCTACAGGATAACAGACTTGGGGTGGGAGGTGTCAGAGGAAAAGCAGTAGGTCCCAAGACATTGAAGACAATGTGAATTAGGGGTCACAGAGAGAGCTAATAGCACCCATGGGTCATTATGACCATAAGCCTAAAAGGTGAATGATTACCTGCTAATGTTCCAGGAAATGTTTAGCTTCTAGGATGTCTGCTCAGTTTCTTCCCATCCACTGGTATCCACAGTCCTGTGGGAACGGCAGTTGTGCTCGTTATTAAGCTATAATAAACAGCTCCAAACTCACCCCTCTTTGCTCCTCCTGGCAGTTGTGGGCCAGGGCTCTATGCTGCTCTTAGGCTGTGCCAGGGAGGCGTGCTGGATGGAGCCTGCAAGGCCGCAGAGGGAAAGAAAGGGCCTGCTCTCTGCTGAGTGCTTGCTGTTTGCTTCCTATTTATCAGCAGCTCCCCAGTCTCAGGGCTTCACCTGGGGAGGCCCATCATTCCGGTAGCAGCAGGTGATTCTAGTTGGCAGGTTTTCCAATACTCACAGAACCAGCCTCGTGGTACGTGACCACCACCCCCCAAATTTTCTACATTTTAAAAAATGCTGACCTCTTCTGCTGCTCCTCTAGCCTTGGGGCTGGCAGCTGCTTCCCCTCAGTTACCACCATCATGACACCTTAATGTACTCTCTGGCTTTTCTTCAACGCCTAGTTAAGAGTTCTGGGTATTACATTCTCCCTATTAAACTAACTGATCCGATTTCTGACTCCTGACAGGACTCTGACTGATATACAATTAATTTCACTGTTAACTGAAATTAAAGCAAATTAGAAAGCTATTTCATATATGCCAAGGTCCAATACACATTTAGTTCATCCCTCGTACCCACATGAGGCTGCTAATCTGACCATGTCCCTGCTCGGTTGGAGGTCATGCAATAGCTCCCCACTGCTCACTGCATGAAATCCAAGCTCCTAGCACCAGGCCCTCCACAAGTCTCTACTCCCCCTCCAGACACATCCCTACCATGCCTGTTCAAACCCACCATGCTGGTTTTCACATCCCATGCCTTTGCCTAGGTTTTCCTCTGCTTAGAATTTGTCTTTTAAAGTCCAGCTCAAATGTCACCTCTTCCCTGTTTCTACCTCTCCCTCTAGCTGCTGAATAGTCCCTTCTGAAATACAAATCAAAACCACAGTGAGATACCACCTCACATGGATCAGAATGTCTAAAATTAACAACTCAGGAAACGACAGATGTTGGCAGGGATGCAGAGAAAGGGGAACCCTCTTACACTGTTGGTGGGAATGCAAACTGGTGCAGTCACTCTGGAAAACAGCATGGAGGTTCCTCAAAAAGTTAAAAATAGAACTACCCTAGGACCCAGCAATTGCACTACTAGGTATTTATCCAAAGGATACAAAAATGCTGATTCAAAGGGGCACCTGCACCCCAAGGTTTATAGCAGCAATGGCCACAATAGCCAAACTATGAAAAGAGCCCAGATGTCCATTGACAGATGAATGGATAAAGAAGGTGTGGCACATATGCACAATGGAATATTACTCAGCCATCAAAAATAATGAAATTTTGGGGCACCTGGGTGGCTCAGTCGGTTAAGTGTCTGCCTTCGGTTCAGGTCATGATCCCGGGGTCCTGGGATCGAGTCCCGCATCGGGATCCCTCCCTGCTCAGCGGGGAGTCTGCTTCTCCCTCTCTTCTCCCCCTGCTTTGTGCTCACTCTCTCTCTCTGTCAAATAAATACAATTAAAAAAAATAATAATGAAATCTTGCCATTTGCAACGATGTAGACAGAACTAGAGGGTATTGTGCTAAGCAAAATAAGTTGGTCAGAGAAAGACAAATACTGTATGATTTTACTCATTGTGGAATTTAAGAAACAAAATAGATGAACATAGGGGAAGGGAAGGAAAAATAAGATAAAAACAGAGAGGGAAGCAAACCGTAAGAGACTCTTAAGTATAGGGAACAAACTGAGGGTTGCTGGAGGGGAGGTGGGTGGGGGGATGGGGTAACTGGGTGATGGACATTAAGGAGGGCATGTGATGTAATGAGCACCAGGTGTTATATACAACTGATGGATCACTAAATTCTACCCCTGAAATTAATAATACACTATATGTTAACTAAATTGAATTTAAATTAAAAAATTAAATTAAAATAAGTAAATAAAAAATACTCCCTACTGTGCTCCTAAGCCTTAATGTACTCTTCTATTAGACCATGTTGCTTCTGGAGGCCAAGGTAGACATCATTTTCTATCATTATGTCAGTACCTGGAACAGTGCTGGGCACTCAGTAGACCCTTAACAAATATTTGAACTTGAAATTCCCTGTTATGTTTTCATTATCCAAATTTCTTGCTACCCACTTGAGGCATACAATTACAAAAACAAAACAAAACAAAAAAACACCAAACCCTCAATACTCAAAAAACTTTAAAATTCATTCCTTTCTCTTCTGTTTGGATGGAATCCTCGTCCAGATACAAAGCTGTTTGTATATTTTTGTATTAGATAATATCCGTAAGAGGTCACATTATAATTTCCCTAGTTCAGTGCCAAGGAGGGCTGACATCATCATGAGTTCAAGAGCTGCAGTTAACAAAGGAGTAAAAATGGCCATTTAGGACTTTGGCTAAAAGGAAAGTGGTTCCTCTGACCAGGGCAAGTCAGCCTTGTGCTAAGTAATGCTCACAAAAGTCTACTAAAGTCGAATACGTGTAAGAGGTTAAGCAATTTGCCTAACTGAAATCCAGGACTCAGCTCTCCCATGATACCAAACGTGGGATGAAGGTTGTTACTGCTGGGATGAAATGCTCCAGGCATCCCAGGGTGGCCAGGGGTGCCTCTTGGATTTGGCAGTGGAAACACTTCCAAGTTGACCATATCATCAGGGCACAGGATTTTTGCTGTCCCACACCTTGGAAACCATTTCCATCACTGTTGGCTAACCATGCATGTACTTTACCACCTTGATGGTTCCTTAAAGTCTCAAAGTGCCAAGTGAGTGGCAACAGAAAGCTGTGGGACCCTGGAGGCAAACAGTAGGCAGCATAAATCCAACTCTGATAAGGCCATTGTGTGCTCAACATTTTGGAGATGGAGCTGGAAAGAAACAAAGGCAAAAAAAAAAAGGCACAGTTCCTCTTTGTTCTGTAATCTATCTTTTGATCCTTTAATATGTAGATAGATAATAAGCATCTATTCTTGCATGGAGAAGGAATATGAGTCCGTTTGGTCAGAGATAACTGTGATCTCTCTAAGACAGTGTATTTTACTCACAGAGTTGCTAAGAGAGTTGTATTTTCACACCTGTAGACATCACAAGGATTCAACAGAATCTTACTGAGTATAACTGATTACACTGCCCACCCCGTGAGTAATTACATCTGTTTGAGTTTCTGTCACTTTATTTTCAGGAATCTCTGCTGAACAATCGCACACCTATTTTTTTTTTTTAATGATTCTAATATTGACATTTTGTGTAAACCTGATTGTGAAAAATCTATTTGAGAGGTGTGGCTTGGTATGGTACTGAGGATAACCTGGAGAATGAAGTTAGTTAACAAAACAAAAAGTTACATTTCCTAATCTAAAGTAATAAATTCAAGGAAACAAGCTAAATCTCTCATATTTTTTCCTTGTGAAGAGCACTTCATGTGGGATATGACCTGTTTGGAAAAATTCCATAGAAGGACAACAGTTAGATAGTTGGCTGGATGCCTTCCTTTCACCCCTCCCGACAGGCTCTCTCCCGTCTCCACTCTGACACCTGCCCGGGGAGGCACAACCCATAGACCATGTCCATGGGGCTCTTGGGCCTCTTGGCTTCCCACTGGGTTCCGCCAATGGGGAGTTCACAGGAGATGGGCCCTCTGAGAGTTGTTCGTGGTAATCAGAATCTCTGCCTCAGGACTGCTTTGGGTTGACTTAATGCTTGACCTAAGGTCACTTGCCTCAAGGCAGCCTTCTCTATATTACTGCCACACCTCTTCCCTTCACCCAAACTCAGGGTGAGGGTGGTTGTACTGCTTCTAGCCCTGGGTTATTGTGGAACCCCTGGGGTTCCCTCCCCAGCTACCATCCCACCCTCATCTTGGTAAATAGTTCCTTATAAGTTGATTTTCAACGATTATCTTCATTTGGGTATGCCATCTCTTTCCTGCTAGGATCCTGACTGGATAATGTTATACTGCTCAATATGGAGGGGTAGAAACATTCCAGTCTTTTTTTTTTTTTTTTTAAGATTTTATTTATTTATTTGAGAGAGAGACAAGAGAGAGAGAGCAGGAGCAGGAGGGGAAGAGCAGAGTAAGAGGGAGAAGCAGACTCCCCGCTCAGCAGGGAGCCTGATGCGGGACTGGATCCCAGGACCCTGAGATCATGACCTGAGCGGAAGGCAGAAGCCCAACTGACTGAGCCACCCAGGTGCCCAAAACATTCCAGTCTTTTATGGCCAGTCTGCTTTCCAGAGAGTTAGGTAATATGCAGAGATACTATTCAAAATATTCAACATACTGCCCCAGCAGGGTCCCGGAGACCCTGCTGAACCAGGCATTATCCCTTAAGTTGCTAGATTATAGAAAGGCCTACAGAGTCCCCAGGGAGGGGCTGAGGCAGCCAGAGACACTTGGGAGTGTCAGGATAGAGGCTATGGACCAACCAACGGAAGGGGTTAGTGTTTTAACAGCTGGTGCATTCCAGTTAAATGTTAGCCCAGGTAATATGCCTACCTATTTTCAACTTTAGGTTAGCAAATTTCAACCACAAAGTTCATTTTTATGTTTATTTAACAGACTCTGAAGGGAGAAATGCAGACAAAAAATGAACAGAGAACAGATGTTGCCTTATACGTATAATGAATGACCAACAAATTTTGCATTCCCCCACCCTAAGTGACCCAAGAAAGAACCAATTTTAAGCCTCTGGCAGAATGGACAGCATATCGACAAGCTCAACATATGACCAAATTTCAAAGGCTGCCCAGTGCTACCAGGGATTTTTAGAACTGTGACATTTGCATCAAAGATTGTGTCTGGGGTGCCTGGGTGGCTCAGTTGGATAAGCGACTGCCTTCGGCTCAGGTCATGATCCTGGAGTCCCGGGATCGAGTCCCACATCGGGCTTCCTGCTCAGCAGGGAGTCTGCTTCTCCCTCTGACCCTCTGACCCTTTTCCCCTTTGTGCTTTCTCTCTCTCATTCTCTCTCTCTCTCTAATAAATAAATAAAATCTTAAAAAAAAAAGATTGTGTCTGTGCTAAGCATTTTGCATCTCTTATGACAGTCCTTTTAATCCTGGACTGTGGGGTGCCTGGGTGGCTCAGTTGTTAAGTGTCTGCCTTTGGCTCAGGTCATGATCCCGGGGTCCTAGGATCGAGCCCCACATCGGGCTCCCTGCTCCACGGGAAGCCTGCTTCTCACTCTCCCACTCCCCCTGCTTGTGTTCCCTCTCTCGCTGTGTCTCTCTGTGTCAAATAAATAAATAAAATCTTTAAAAAAAAAAAAAAGAAATCCTGGACTGTGGTTTCTGAATTTGTTTGAGCCTATAAAATAAAGCAGGATTTGATCCTTGGCCACACACAAGAAGTTTCTTGATTCTTTTTAGAGCTGATCCTGTGTAATATAATAGGTTATTCTTCCTCTGAAACATAATTATATCACATATTTTTATATTTCCTTCTGCTGCTTCTATGGTGACATCATTTACATATCTCCAGTGATTAGTCATGAAAATGGGCCATATGCTTGTAACACATACTATCTGGGTTTTCAATGCTGTTAGTTTAAGCTGTGGACAATTACATAAATTCCTTTCTTATTCACTGTGTTGCAAATGCTGAATAACTAAACTATCTTGCTAATGTAGCATCAGGTTAAAGAAAATGAGACACCTAATGATTTTGACAGAATTTAAAAGGGAATCTTTAGCTACAGATCAATGGTTGGATCTGAAAGAATACTCATCTCAGGAAACAGCATTTCAAATACCATTATTTCTCCTTTGCCCCATTAACAACTGGCAGTAACAGCAGAGAACATAACAGAATTAGGGAGAAATCCATGACATGGAATGTGTGCATATATGTATAAGAGGCCAACAGATAAAGGGCAGATTAAGCTACAAAAGAAAATATTCTGGTGATCATTAATCGTACAGTGCTGGAGGCTAGCCCTGTATTTAGAATGCATGTTGGTGTAAATGATATTTATTACAAAATGCATAAATTATACTTTGTTTTTTGTTTTTAAAGATTTTATTTATTTGACAGAGAGAGACATAGCGAGAGATGGAACACAAGCAGGGGGAGCAGGAGAGGGAGAAACAGGCTTCCCGCCGAGCAGGGAGCCTGATGCGGGGCTCAATCCCAGGACCCTGAGATCATGACCTGAGCCGAAGGCAGACGCTTAACAACTGAGCCACCCAGGCGTCCCATAACTTATACTTCTGTTTAGTCTTCAGTACACAAGGCTAGGTGATCAAGGAAAGTATCCTATCTAGATACAAAGAAAGGTTCTTTGAAGTTTATTAGTTGAGTTTGTGTCCTTATGTGATAGGAGGTTTATAAAATCAAACATTCTCCTTATTAAAGAAAAATACTATGCCATAAGCCTTCAATCAAACAACCATCTCAGGAAAAAGAAAGATAAAAAGAAATACAATTAATTAATTGTGCTAACCATTCTTCTCTGAAGATATTAGCCGGGACTTCAGGAATTAACTAGAGTAATATTAATACAACAGAATTATTAAACTATATCTAGTATTTTTACATCTGATAAACTATTCCCAGTAAAGATAGGTTATTTGGTTCAGTTAAGTGAGCAAACAAATTCTTTCACTGTTTCTAAGTAGTGTAGACTGTGTCATTCCCTGTGAACCGAGGCAGTTCTGGGGTCATTGTTTGTCTTGCCTGCCAATGTGTTCCATGACCCACACCACAAAAGATCCCAAGGTGTGGAAACAATAAGTAATCTTCTTGGTTTCTAGTGGAAAGTTAGTTGATCTGGGAATAAAATGTACCATTATCCAATCTCCAAGTGGGAAAACCCAATCAAATGGCAGTGAAAGTATAACGTAAAAGAGGAGGCCGTAAAGCCTTCATGTCTAAAGCTGCTGACTACCCACAGAGACTGCAGAATCCCCCACAATCCAAGACCTCAGTCAAGTGAATTTACTTTACTACTAAGAAGCAGAAGCTATACATTTACCTCTAAATGTGCTGCCGTAGCAAATCTGTGACCAGAAAACGCCAACAACATTGCTTCAGTGACAGCGTCGGCTCCCCCATCTGACACCCCTTCAGTTCCAGGGCACCTTTCTAGAATGGCCTTCGTCAGAAACAGACAGCAACCATTTCGATCATGTAAAAGTAGCAAACCAATTCACTTTCAACTAAAAAGAAAAATACTGTTGATACGGCAGTCTCGGAAATCCAGATACTGAGCCATCTGGAATCTCACTGGGGACTTACTGTTCATTACAACAGATCATGGAGGCACAGAAGACAAACGGACCTGCAAGGTTTTCTAGTGGGAGGGCCAGCCCCACAATGAGATCACTTATGTGCCATTCGTGGCAGATAATTCTGCTGTCAGAGAGGTTTTGCAAGGACGTCCACAACTGCTGAGGTCAAATTAACAGTTGTTCAAATGGATCAAAAACTTCATCTCTGTAACACTTCCCTTGATTCGGACTTTTTGTCTTTCTGAGGAAGTAGAGGAAGTCCAACCCTCTTCTCCCTTACAGCTCTGCATGAAGTTGATGACTACCATGATGTCTTCGTTAAGCCTTAGCTCCTCATCCAGATGGACAAATGCTATTGATTGCCTCCACTGGGTTAAACATAAGGGATTAAAACATGAGCCAGATGCAGTACCACACACGTATATAATTAAACTTAATTTATTAGGATGACTGCTATACCGGCACTATGAAGTACCTTAGAAACTGCCGTCTAAAGTATGTTTTTTTCTTTTCCCCACAGCAATGTAAGCTTTTTCTCAACACACTTTTTTTTTTAAAGATTTTATTTATTTGACAGAGAAAGACACAGCAAGAGAGGGAACACAAGCAGGGGGAGTTGGAGAAGCAGGCTTCTGCCGAGCAGGAAGCCTGATGCGGGGCTCGAACCCAGGACCCTGGGATCATGACCTGAGCCGAAGGCAGACGCTTAATGACTGAGCCACCCAGGCACCCCTTTCTCAACACAGTCTTATATGAAACACAATACTTGAATCAGACTGGGCAGAGTAGCTCTGCCTGAAGTGAAATGAGGGATTAGAGCCTCATCTGCGTGGCCTCCCCCTCTGCCCTTCAGAGGCTCTAGAAACAGCCCCGTGGAGCCTCTGGGCCCTGGGCAAAACAGCGTAAACACCATTGCTCTAGAACTGCAGAGAAGCTTTCTTGAAAAGGAGACTGTGCACAGAGGGAGGAAGACTCTGAATGCTGTACTAAGGAATTTGTACTTTTCCTAAATGAAAAAGCCATTGGAAGCTTTTAGGCTTTTAGCTTTTAGGGGAGTGATATGAGAAGATTAATGCTTTAGAAAGTTATGTGGTGGTGATATGGAGTTTATACCACAGGATGGACAAGAGATAGAAATTAATAATGAGGTGGTTGTACTAGATGGTGAGATGATGAGAGCTCTTTGGAAGGGTATTTTGAAGATAGAATTAATAGAAGCTGCCCGCTGGTGGATTAAAGGAGAATTCCAAGGTCATACTAAAATTTCTTGTTTATTCATTCAATTGACATTTACTGAGAACCTACTGTGTGCGAGGCGTACTTCAAGATGAGAGAAAAAAATAGGTTTGTCTTCAAGAAGGTGACTGGCTGTTCAGATAAGACAGAGATATAATTAAGCAATTAAGGAGAACATGAGTAGAAGGTATTACTGCAAACTGTGCACATGATGGCACAAGAGCACAGAGTGAGAGGCAGATACGTGTACTGGGCTCCCTCTGCTCTAGTCCACCCTCCTTCTAGCCTGTCTCTCTGCACACTAGGGATGGGAAAAGTAAAGACTACATTTCCCCATTTCTTTGCAGCTCAATTTCCCCACATGTACTTACCTTCTGGAAAGACTTGAATGTGGGTGTAAGTACCCCAAGAAGAAGGCCACCTGTTATGGCTGCTACTCTTCATACTGATAGGCAGCTGTGGCAGGTTTTGATTTTTCACTGGCAGTGGTAACAATGTCTAGTTCCCAGCTTCCTGGGTACCATGCTGACCTAGATCATGGCAGAGGCAGCTAAGAATTGTGGTGGCACCTTCCTTATTATCTCGTGTTCTGATCACAACAGACGCACTGATCTCTCGGTGGGCCAGTTGTGCAGTGTTAGTCTGGGAGTCCCTCCTGGAAACTCAGCCAAGAGCTTGTTCCTCTAATCCTTCTAGTAATTTTATAAGCACCTGTTTCTCCCCACAATGCCTTTTTTTTTTTAATTTTTTATTTATTTATTTGAGAGAGCGAGAATGAGAGAGAGAGAGCACATGAGAGGGGGGAGGGTCAGAGGGAGAAGCAGACTCCCCGCTGAGCAGGGAGCCCGACATGGGACTCGATCCCGGGACTCCAGGATCATGACCTGAGCCGAAGGCAGTCGCTTAACCAACTGAGCCACCCAGGCGCCCTGCCTTTTTTTTTTTAAGCTAGCTGACTAGATCATTAGCTACATTGAATTCCTAATTATATCAAAGAGATATTTAACATATGCTAGAGGCAGTCAGAGAAGGCTTCCAGGAGAAGATAAAGCTTGGATGAATCTTAAAGGGTGAGTGGAATTTGGTCTAATAGAGAACCAGGAAAAGACGTTCCAGGCAAAACCAGGAAGGTAGGGAGAGAAAGATGTGCCCAGGAATTGCACAGCATTGACAAAGGGGAACACTAGGAGGTGAAGAGAGAGGGGCAGGGAGAGGTGCATTCATGAGAACCTTGTGTCAGGCTAAGCAATTTGAGTCTTATCCATGGGAGTTATTGGAAATTGTAAACAACAAAATAATATAAGCAGGTTTGTATGCTAAAAAGACCTCTCTGTAGAATTGTGAAGTGTAGATTGGCTAGACAGTGAAGTGAGGAGACTGCATCAGGAGGGAATTGTAATAATTCTGGCAAGAAATACTGAATATCAAGAGATTAGCTGAGAGACAGACAGTAGGAGTAGAGTGGTGCGGACAGATTTTAGAAGCAGGAAGTAGAGGGGCGCCTGGGTGGCTCAGATGGTTAAGCGTCTGCCTTCGGCTCAGGTCATGATCCCAGGGTCCTGGGATCGAGTCCCGCATCAGGCTCCCTGCTCCTTGGGAGCCTGCTTCTCCCTCTGCTTCTCTCTCTCTCTCTCCCTCTGTCTCTCATGAATGAATAAATAAAATCTTTAAAAAAAAAAAAAGCAGGAAGTAGAATCTCTGAGATTTCATGACCATCTAAATATCAGGGTAATGTGAGCAAAAATGTGTTGTTGAGGGTGACACTCCATTTTCTGGCTTTGGCAATAGGTGGATAATGGTGCGTGGTTTAGCAAGTGGTGTAGTTTGAACCTGTCTGTATCTCCAGGGTCTCTGTTTCCCACCGCTATGCTACATCTTCTTTGTACAGAATGAGAAAATGAATCAGGTGTTTAGGCTGGATACAGGACATAAAGCCAAAGGGGCATTAATTGTTTGGCTGAAAATGGAGGCATGTAGGGTGGACATCTCACTGTGTTTCAAGGACAAATAGAAGGAGAATAAATTGGAAGGGTAGAAGTTTAGGGTCAAAGATTGGTATTCTAGAGTTTGTGATTACAGGTAGAGCAAGAGCCAGAGGTCTAAATTGAGGGTGTTGGGCTAAGGTCCCCCTGGATGAATGCAGCGTCTGGAAATGGCAGCGAGGAGGCATAAGTATGAGCCAGGTACCAGGGGGCTCAGGGGAGGAAGGGTTTTTACAAGAGGATGAACAACCAGTGGGTTGAAAGGGACTGTGTGGTGCTAGGGACGTACCAGCCCATTTGTCCTCCTGCCCCTTTCATATCACCACCCGTCCCTTCCACATATAATAAAGTTAAGTGATGAATTCAACACAACTTCAATGAGCTCAACTATGCAGAAGGTGCCACACAGACACAAAATTGTCCTGTACCAGCCTTAGGAAGAGTGAGAATTTGATATAACCTGATCAAGGGTGTGTGTGTGTTTAATAAACGTTTATTGCACTCCTATTCCATGCCAGTAAATTCTACAAAAATTTTTAAAATTCTGCATTTGACAGAAAATAAACAAGTGAAACAAGGTAGATGGTTTTAAGTACAATGAAGAAAAGTACAAGCTGATTAAAGGGTAGAGGGAGCAAAGGAGTAGGGAGGTGGTGCATATTTCCTTTTAAATATGTCAATTGGGGAAGGCCTCATTGGAAGGTGACAATTACACAGCCTTGCAGATGCCTAAGAGAAGAGATGCTCATGCAAAGGATCGAGCTGGGAACATACTTGATGTGTTCAGTGAACACTGAGGAGGCTAGCGTGGCTGCAGCAGAATGAGTGAAGAGGGGGGTAGTAGGAGAGGGGGTCAGGTTAGGAGCAGAGCATATGGGTCCTTAGAAAACACTGGAGATTTTTTTTTAGCAGAGGATTAACAAGATCTGACTCATGTTTTCAAAGGCTCACTCTCACTACTGTATGTCAAACAATTTGTGTGTGGTAGGGATTAGGGAGCAAAAATACCAGTTAAGAGGTTACTGAAATTAGCCAGGTGAGAGACAACAGAGGGTTGGACCAGGGAGTTAACAGTGAAGGTGGTGAGAAGTACTTGGACTCCACACATATTCTAGAAGTAGAGATGGCAGAATTTGTTGTTGGATTGTGTGACTGGCAGCCTCCACCTTGGCCCCCAATGATTCCTACCTAGCCTTAAGTGTGGGCTGGACCTAGTGACTCACCTCTAATGAAAAGAATGTGGCAAAGTGATGGTATGTCAATTGTAAGATCAGGTTATAAAATGTGACTCCTGTCTAGCTGCCCCTCCTCCCCCCATTTCCCTCTCTCTTGCTAACTCTGGGGAAAGCCAGATGGCACACTGTGATCTTTACTTCGAGAGTTCCATGTGGCATGGAACTGTTGTCTCCAGCTAACAAGGACCTGAGGCCTGCCAATAGCCACATGAGTGAGCTTGAAAGTGGTCCTCCATAGTCAAGCCTTGAGATGACTGTAGCCCTGGCTGACACCTTGACTGTAGCCTTTTAAGAGACTACAGCTGGGGACAGCTAAACCATGCCCAAATCCCCAACCTACAGAAAATGAAGTATGATAATTTGTTGTATAGCAATAGAGAACTAATATAGGTTGGATATGGGATATAAGAGAAGTATAGTTGATGATGACTCTAAG